CTTCGAGTTCTCGACGGTCAAGAGGATCCCCTAGCTACAGATGTGCCGGACGAAGCTTCGGAGACTGATAGTTTAGCTAGCCCGATGTTCCTGGCCAAGGTACCAAGCTCCGATAAGCTTGAACATGAACCGTGCTTCGTGCCCGTTATGCGTATCGACCACATCCTATCGAACGTCCCAGAAATAGCTGATCCATCGCAGCTATGTGGAGATCTGGATCTTTTTCAAGAGTAAGCAATCCTCTCTAATTGTTGCGTATTTTCTCCTGAATTGTTCTTTTTCTTTTCAGAATCGTGCACGAGTATCAGCTTGCCCGCTGCGGATCGGTCCTTTTCGACCCGCTAGAGGATCCACCGATTGACGACACGCCTGTCCGTGACAACGTTTCATCGGTTTATACTGTATATACTGTAGGGTCGGCGGAATCTCGCGCGAGCTCGACGGAAGATTTGAGCTCTGATTCTCCGGACTCCCACGAACTGCACTCATTGTCAGAGCAGTCTCCCCAGGTGCCGGTGCCGGTGCCTACTCGGAAAGGTAAGTATCTAAGTGTCTCGACCGCAGCCTCCATTGAATTTTGCTTCTAGGTAAATTGAGAGTCAGGTCGTTCCTCCAAAAGGCGATCACGAATCTTGTCGAGGTCTTCAAGCGGCCCAAGGTTTCTCGCAAGTTGTGATTTGGTCTGCGGGATAGACCCAGCACCTCACTTTCGTTTTATTATATACATTATTTTGTATCGCTAATCCTATTGTACAACTCACTCTCTGGTATGGTACCGCGGCTTCTTTTCGCATAACTACTAGTATTGCAATATATGAAGGGAGGGGAGAATCTACCAGAAGTCAAGTTATAAGCTGTCCTCAATTGCCCATAGTCCGACGCACAGAGGACCCAAAATCCACGTCCGCATCCTAGTCGCCAGATCTGGCCACGACGGTCTTTCTTTAGTGCCTTCTCATGCTACTGGATGAATAACGGCTGTTCTTTCGGTTGATCTCGCTGTACTGATGACAATTCGCAGACATCGTAAGCTAATGGTTGGCGCTGAGGTATCTGGATCTCGTTGGTGATAGATGATTTGAAAAAAAACGGTTTTTAGCTGATGGCGCTTATTAGACCAACCTTGCCAGACGTGTTGGCCCCCGGGCCTTTGCAGCGATAAATTGGCAACCACGCCATGGCCGGCCCTCGGCACTTCCCTCATCTTATCATTATATCGCGAGTCGCCGTATCGAAATCATGGTCTGTGATACCCATTTTTCTTAGTCACTAGTGGTCTCGAAAAAACATATCCAACGATGACACGTTCATTTGCGTCGAGAATCGCCCTGAAAAGCTGCTGTTGATCAATAGGACATTCCTGTCTCTGCTGTACAAACTGTGACTACGAAAGTAATATTACACGTAGTGTCTCCGTTTTTAGTTGTTGTCGTGAGAAATCGAACATGTAAACGTACCAGTAAATCAGAGTCCCATTGTATGCGCTGATGTTGGAGACTGGCCAATGGTCGGGGACATAAACGTGGTTTGCTCTTACCCTCAGTTTTGTCTTTGCTGCATACCGACATCTCAGTAGAACTGGATTTCGCGGGTTGCGATCTTAGACGTAGGAAAATTAATGCTAGGAACTACTTTGGTGACTGTATGTATCCCTGGATGACTATATGCGCCTGGTTTCGCTCTTCTTTGTCTAAGGCTACATCATTCGTCGGATGTTTTTTATGTGCGGCGTCGAAGCAACAATAGCGACCATGGGGCCTATCTTCCTGTCCAATTTTAACGGATACTAGAGGAAGACATGCCACTCCAAGTGAAGTTCGGACGCTTGATGGCAATCTTGATACTAGCCGACTCCTCATGCCAGCGCTCGAGCGTACTCAGGGGGCTGCGTTTTAAACATCATCGGCACTATTCATGGCAGCCGATACTTAATTTCTCTAGTACGATGCATGTGAATTTTCCCAATGTTTTTGTCTTTGCTTATACAATGCAGACATCATCATCAAAAACTTATCAGTATTCCAGAATAACATGAACATTGGCTGATTTTGTGCTTGCTGGAAAATATTCTGCCAAACCTCTGAGAAGTCGAGAGACACCGCTAAATCGGTAGGTGTAGCTTCATCGCGTTTTATGCATCGTTACTCATTATCAAGCTAAAATACATTGGAGTTCCTCTCGCTGGGTCCATCGGGTTTACGGCTTATTCTATCGTGAGGGAGGAGGCCAAAATATGGAGAGAGAACCGGTGAAGGTGTGAGGTCACTTTCTGCTTTTGCTCTCCAAAATGAGATGCTGACCTGTTTGTCGGTGCAGGTTGCGGAAGCAAAGATTTATTAGTGAATCAAGGCACCGATTAAGCGTCGCGATCATCCTCTTTAGATTGGGCTATTCGCAAAAGCCTACAATATATGATTTTCGATAATATCCACCTCTAGCATATCGTTCTCCTCCAAGAGTGGCAGTTTTCCCTTCACCCACTCTCTAGAGTACGGTCCTCTCCATGGACTGAAGTCTGTAGGGTGCAGTCTGAATGCAACCTTCAAAAGACGAAACGATGACATTTCTGGACGAGCGAGAGCTTGGTCAAGGCTGGACCATTGCACTGCCCAGTCTTCGTCTTCCCAGTTCTCATGTTCTCCCTCATGGTTATATGGGGGTATGATTGTCAGTGTCAGCGTCTCCAGTCTGACGGGATCTGTCGCGCCAGAGATAGAATGTACCAACCACCTCATGACCCTGATATGCCAATCGCAGTACAGATCGCATTTCATCTCGACATGGAGAGTTGACATGGTCAGAGGGAGCGTCGGGTGAGCTGGCCACCTTGACCACGAACCGGGCGTATAAGCTTCAGCTCGGTCAGCAGGCATTGGCTGTATCGAACAACACTGCTCACCTCCGTAACGGAAACGAATGTCAAAGCTCTTCCAAGAGCTTGGTGCCGCACGGATGAAGGTGCATATGGATGGAAGATATTCAGCCGAGGGATAGTAAATGCGGAGCTCACGGAGAGAGTCGACATAGGTTGATCGTAGGTCTCCCCGGTGAAAGAGTGATTCGACGATAGATTCATTGAAGAATGTCCCATATAACGATATCCTCTTGATCGTCGGAAATTCGAAAGACTCGGAACTCAGGTCTTCCGATATGCTGTGACAGCTAAAAAACACGTTTTTCAAATCGAGATCTGTCAGTCCGGGCAGATGGGAGATAAGGGAGTGGAGGTGCGATGGGTCTTGAAAAAAGATGAGTATAAGAGAAAGGGAGGCTAGGTTTGGTAGAGAGGAAAGGAATGAGGTAATGGAAGATACTGGTAGGTCTTGCACATCATGGGCGACGCTTTGGAGCTTTACTTCCTTTATGTATTCGACAACCCTCCCCCAAGTTCGGCATGATACACCGGTCCAGAGTAGAGGGGATTTTGCCACTCAATATCAGTGTTCGGACATTGTTATGGATGAAGACGGGAAAGAGGTGTGCACCAAGCGGTGCAGATGATTGGACAATATCTTCCGGACGTGAAAAGTACGTCCTCCAATGCACTCGCCTCCTTCACGCAGGCGTAAAAAATCTGGATTTGCGTTTTCTGGCTCATCGATGGTTGGTCAGCTGAGAAAGAACTAGTACTACTCGTGAGAGTTCCCGGCCACTGGACAATATGCCCGGAGAAGGCGAGGCGCTGGAGGAGGGGAGCAGACGTAAGAGGTGCGTGTGGGTAAGACTATGGCTGTGAATCATCAAATAGAGAGAGAGAGAGAGAGAGAGAGAGAGAGAGAGAGCGTAACAGCGGTAAATGACTGGAGAAGTCTTGAAGGACTGATGCTGGTCCGCAGATGGTGAGGGTTCACATGAGACCACCGACGTGAATGGAGAACAATGCCCTCTGAAACAGCATCTCCATCATCTCTGGTACAAAGATGCTTTCGCTCGGTATCATAGGGATGGATCATGGCAATGTAGATTCGAAGTGGTGAACTCCTGGACAGGGAGAGCAGATTTCTGAAGTAGACGGCGTTTACCGGGTAGGCAATCTGAAAGACACTTGCTCGTGACGGATACGTCTGTCCACAGGGAAGGAAGGGAAGGAACGAGAAAGGTCTCTCCAGGTGACAAATATAACCGAGCAGCCAAGATACGGCCGTCAAGTCAAGTCAAGTCTGGAGCTGTACTTTTGTAGCAATAGACAACTGAAAGATATGTAGCTAAGACATCGTTCGGAAGACGTCGAACGGGTGCAAACATGGATTTGTGATTTTTGAGATCCTGCACGGGTAAGATCTTGTTCGTACTGGGAGACGGGCGATGTGCGATGCGGATGAGGCTCGTCAATGGCGGGCAACGCGAGGCGACATATATGTTCCATTACTGAGGCCAACGTCAGAACTGCCCCGTGCGGAGGAACGTCACAGCATCGACGCACATGATACGTGGCCCTACAGCCGTATTCGTAATCGAGGAATTCCTCAGAACAGTATATGAGATATACTGGGGGCGGGTGATAGCGGAGACAAGACGAGCTGTCCGATTCCATTGATAACACAGACTGTCGAGGGCCGCCAGTAAACTCAATAGCTGTAGAAGTCGTCAGAATGAAGAAGCATCTCCTCCCGAGAAAGGCATACGTACCTGTGTGAAAAATTTCAGAATTCTGTGGGGACCGCGACGGCTAGAGGTAACGAGTAAGGTGGGATCCAGGACGCACGTGTTGGGTTAGCCCATTTGCTTGCTATTCCCGTCTCCTTCTCCTATGAAGCCGCAGAACAATAGATAGGAGTATGCACGCACAAGCTTTTTGGGTATTCATAATTCACACTGATGGCAGATTACCCTTGGAGTGATGCGCTCCGAAGATTATAGAACACCATCCTCGTGCAGTCAGCCAAGAACTGAGGGGGAAAGAAGGAATCCACAACCATGGCTGAAGAGCCCGCTTTCCCCAGCCTCTCGTAGGCAGATGGATATATGTCGGTTCTGCGGCATTATTAACTATCTGTCGCAGGATCACCTCCATTTCAGATCTTCGGTTAGTCCTTGGAAACATCCGGCTTCCGCCAAGACCCTCTGTTCCTTCGTCACGTCTGGGCGACCCAATAATTCCATGACTCTGTCCCAAAATGGCATCGAAAGAGTCCCGAAAAGCGCGTCCCAGAAATTCTGGTTTAAATACACCTGATTCCGAAAACGAAATAGTGCTCCATTCAAGTACCTATCTGCATTGCCTTGAAAATATTTGACCTGATTGACCCGCTCTCGAAAATTTGATGGACAGAAATAAGCGGTCAGAGAGGGAAGCCGCATCTTGAACAGAAGACAACTAGTCAAAATAATTATTAAGCTTAGAGGACAGAGTACCCCCCGCCATCGAATATGACGCCTGCCAACTCCTCAAGCCAGTTAGGCAGGAACTCGCCAAAAAAAGCATCACTCACTGCTCGGATTTGCCGAAAAAGTTATAGACTTTTTTGGCGAAGAAAAGTCCGTTGCTGGGGGAAAAGGAAAGAGGAGGAGGAGAAAGTCAGACAAAAACCCACAAACGTTATTTTCCAGTGTCGCGAAGCTGAGGTCAAAGACGGTGGAGGAAGTCTGATGCCCAGACCCGGAGGCCTGCTTATATCCCCTCGTTACTTCATCCACCACCACATGCTAGGGGCCTGGCCTCATGCTAGGTCACGTCATGACATCGTTCTTGGATACAGGAAGGCGTGCGGGAGGAAGATAGGGCGATGGAAATTAGGCTTCCTGAATACGGGATCACCGTTAGCATTGGTAAGAGGTCAACACGAAACCCAAAGTTGGACGGTTAGACCAAGAGCAGCAGCAAAGCATCGTGTCTTTTTCATTCTGAGCATTCTCTCAAGTCCAATAGAAAAATTAGAAACTCTTCCGACGTCAGTCTAAACTCACAAATATGGGATCCCTGCGGAGAGAGAGTACAATGGGCGACAGACAAGCAGCTAGTGATTCATTTCAAACGTCATCTTGATATTCGAAACCGAATAGAATACACAATCCGCAATGAAAACGACTCGTCAGAGATGTGTGGGTGAGGATAAGAAAGTCTGTCAAGATCCCAAAAAGAATGGAAGCAACTACTCCCCCCTCAGCGGACTCGGCCTCTTAGGCTGGGCAGCTCCAGGCGGCAGTGGAGGCAAGGGAGTGATAGCTCTAAATGGATCCTCCTCGATACTCGGCTCGAGAGAATGCCCACTCGCCTCACGTGGAGGCGGCCACACCTCTTCGTGGAAAATGCTCCCCGAATCACCCCGGACTGGCGAGGTATCGGAGTACATCGACGGTTCGGACAGCAGGAAAGAAGAATGAGAGACAGATTGAGGTGCCGACGCTGGCGTGTCCGGTTGATCCCTGTACCTCGTCGTATCCTCAAACTCGTCATCCAGCAAGCCAACGGTTCCAGCACCCTTGCCCTCCCGCCTGATCCACTTGATGGTCTCCATGAACCCGATGCGCCATTTCTGGGCGCGTTTGTACACGAAGATGGCAGCGAGGGCGAGGGCAGCAAGGATGACAGCGGTGGTGGTGATGCCGGCAATGAGTGCAGTACGGTTGATGCTGCTTGGGCCTGAGTCGGAGTTGGAAGTGGCGAGAGCCGTAGGCATGTTGGTGGTATATGTAGTGAGCTGGCCGGAAATGGAGGTCACGATCGTAGTGAGAGACGTCGTGCTCAAGTTGGACGATGTCGCGGTGAAGGACGGCGAAGGGGTGGTTGTCTGTGTTTCAGAGGTGGTGGACACTACTGAGGACGTCGTTGATGTGGACAGGACAGACGTCGTCGAGGTAACAGTAGCAGTCGTGGACGATGTGGACGGCGTCACGGATGTTATAGAGAACGTCGAGCTCGATGTCGGCGTTGACGTTGCGACAGCAAAGGAGGTACTGCTGCTACTACTGGTTGTTATGATTGACGTCGATGACGTGGAGGATATCGTCGAGGTGTCACTCGTGGATGCCGCATCGCTCGTAGTCGTTGGCGTTATCGACGACCCGCCACTTGATCCCGACCCCGCCGCACTCAAAACCACTCCAGCGCTATCCGTAACCGACACCTATCCTTCGCCCGTAGAAGTTGCCTATATTTCATCAGCGCAATCCATTGGGTGTCTTTTCATCAGGACATACGGAGGTGGGCTGGCTGGTGCCGGATTCGCTCGCAGGTCCCTGACGAGGGCGCAGTTGGCGCTTAAGAGCCATTAAAGTCGCATTGAAGGATCGAGATAGGCATGCACTACGGTAGCAAGGAGAGAAACAAGTGGAAGAAGGAACAAACAACGAAAACGAGGCTCGTCGGATCGACTGTCACACGGCATTTGCCGCAGTGTCGCGACACTCGGATTTTGTCTTTACTCCAAATGACGACAAGCCGAGAAGGGTCGGGGAATGTCTGAAAAGCAAGAAGAGAAGCAATCATTCAAACATTGTACATTGCAAGACAACAGACGACGGGTGCAGAAGCAGAGGCAACGATAATTTGATAATTCGAGTCCGTTCCATTCGAAGACGAAGCACCCACCATGAACAGGAGAAATACACCATGGTAAGCAGTACGCCAATCTCTCGTGTACAAAGACGCTATGTCGTCCTGTTTCGAAATCCGGATGTTAGTAAAAAAAGACTATATGCAAGTAGATTGGCCATCTTGGGATGGTTGATACCATCTATTCGGTATAGGCAAGTTTGATTGAAAGACAGGTCCTAATATATAGTCTAAAGTAAAAAACTGAGCAGAGAATCGTGACAAGTACTTGGAGACTTACTGATACCCGAACATAGTACTCTGACCATTAAGATGCGACTTTTATTGCCGCCAGGATTTCATAGCGTCAAAAAGCAGAACGTAGCGCTGGACCAAGACAGAAATGGAGACCTATTCGTTATCAACAGCACGCTATTGGCATTGACAAAGATTGATGAACAGGTACGCCCACCTTTTCAATGGATGTCGGACTTTGACAGTGATGGCAAAAGGGAACACGGGATTTGTTTGTTGCCGCCGTGGGCCAAACAACTCTTCTCCATCGACCACGACGACCTCAACCCTTTTTGTGTATGCTTCTCTCAGGACGACACCTTATTGTATGAAATAAAGTGTGGCTTATCAGTGAACCTGAACCACTGACAGGATGGAGGAAAGATAGTACTTCCTTGATGAAAAAGGGGCAATGAATTTCAATTTCGAAACAAACAAAATCACGTGGTCGTGGTCAACGGCGCGATAAAGACGCGTCTTAGGCACACCTGACCTGCTTGGCCGCACCGTGTGTATTCTACACAATAAAAATCTATTTGCGATACTGACACACTATGTTGTGATATTATGACAGCGCCTTCATCCTCGCCTCGATCTCCCATACATCGACCACAGACCTCAAAATCGCATCTTCTATTCCCGAGCAGGAATCACGATGGTCCACCCAAGTAGTCGAATCATATCCGCACCGACATCCGGAACAAACGAGTCTGCCGTCTTGGCTCGGAGCCCAAGGTCCTATGTCGTCCTCGCGCGACGGAGACGAGAACGCGAACGCGAACGTCTTGATGATAGCAAACGTTGGATCCTTGTTCGTGCGCGAAGTTGTCATGAGGAATGTCTCCTTCTGCGAGTCCGTAAGCGATATGGGATTTGGTTCCGCGAGCGAAGGGGTGGGTGGTCCGAGAACGCCATTGATGCTTGAAAAGGTATTAGAATGCCAGCGCCAGTTAGGACAGTGCTAACGTACAGAGACCGTCCAAAGGCCTCCTGGAACGGAAGAATTTCGCGGATGGCGAGGATCGTCTGGAACGGGTAGAAGAAATGCCACTTGCACCCCCCTGGGCCGTACATTCCACAGAGACAAGGGCGCGACGTGTGTCTGGTGATTTGTTTGGGATATGAGGCGTCTGGTCTTGATTCTTCTTCGTACGGAATAGGCTGTGTCGAGGTAAGAGGCGGGATGGGTGCCAGAATCTCCTTGACGATTCGGGTCTTGATTCGGGCGCTCTTTGGATAATTCCTGAGTCTGTTCATAGAGAACACGAGGAAAGGTGGAAGCTGTGATGAACAGAAAAGGTCGGCTTTAAAAGGAAAGAAGCCATCATGCATCATGTTGACCTTGAATTTGAGACAGTGCTCTCAAAAATGGTGATCCGAACAAAAACAGTCGACTTCATTGGTATTAGGGTGGTAGAACAGTGATCAAGTGATGTCCATAATGACGATACTCTGCTGGGAGTGTAGGGGAACAGTAACATATTCACACAGCAAAAAAGATCCAATTCAAAGCTCAGCACTATGACAATCCTAGAAAAGTTCTCTGTATCAGAGACGTATCGCGAAAACACCTACAAGAACACGTACCAATAACTCCACACACGGCTCTTGCCCCAGAATTTCCAGTCGTCAACGACAGGTTCGTTCCGCCCTTCCCTAGATCATCTGTCCCCGCATGAACGACCATGGAACGTCTAGGAAATCAAGTCAATACCTTCATAAAAACCTCACGGAAAGAAAACGTACCCGATAATGCTCAGTGGCCCATTCAGCGAAATAATCTCATCAGTAATACCCAGCACCGCAACACCGCTCGCATCTGATTGGATATTTCTGAGATCGCCTACGTGCCTTTTGGTTATGGGATCGGTGGGACCACCGTGCGTGGTGTTGAATGGGTTATAATGTTCTCCCGCTGATGTGCAGCCGTCTGTGAGGTTCCCGGAGGTGCTACGGGGTGGTTGGAACGATGAAGGCAAAAGAAATGCTGGACGTACTGGACATGGAAACCTCGTAAGGCTGAGGGATCTAGCCCTACAATGCGTCCCGTTACATGAACGGGTCCATCATAGCTGGACTGCTGGAATATGACGATGCCGTTGACTGGACTTGGTCCGCTTAAGATGACGACGACCTTCATATGTTTAAAGTCGGCATTGGAAAGAGAAATCGTTGATAGAAATGGGTACCTCTGAGACAAAGCATCTCGAGACCAGACGGGAAGGATGACGGTAAGCGCGAGGAGTAGTAAATTAAACATCGTGGCAGGAGGATGGAATGCATAATAGGTTGTTCAGAAGCAGCATCAGTTTACTTTAATGCCTCATGCGTGAGAATTGCGATTATGACATTTTGACTCGTGATCCCTATTAGGCCATCGTAAAGGCGGATTCCAAGGGTAGGGAGCGTTTTCGCAGGCCTCTGTGTGACTCTCGGGGTTGTCACAAACTCTGTCGACACAGAGATACAGAGCTCCGCTCATCCATGAAGAGGGATTGCCAGTGCCATCTCTGTCTCAGTGCCAAGTCTCGGCTGATGCTGATTCATGAGAGACATCGGCACCAGGTGTCTCTTCTTCATTCCCACTTTCATCCCGCATCCCTAAGCTTCGAGGCTTTGCCTCCTCCTTCACCTTATTACTGGGCCGTCATTGTACAAGTCACCGAGTTTTTTGTCCTTGACATTTGTCCCTCAAATCTATTGATCTCATTCATAACCTCCAATCCATCGACCGATATTGAATGTGTCACTGCCTTGGCAAAACATTGCAAAGACCTTGTCGAGGAATGTGTTAGAGGTACCATCAATATCCTTGACTTTGTGGACAGACTTCACCAGCTTGGCATTTCATCTGAGGCTGCCAGAAATTACATCAGACTTCTGCAGGAGCAGATTAAGCAAGCTGGCCCATGAAGCTTGACTGTTGCCTCCTCTAACATACAAGATGGTGGCAATGAGGACATTGGTGCATCAGACCACAGGGAGGCCACTCCACCAGACTTGTCTCAGGCCAAGATCAAGGAGTTTTGACAAAAGTGAGTTGAGAAATCCAAGGCTGCTGCTGAACAGTGTCAAGAAACCAGATCTTGGACAGTTGAAGAAGCTGTTTGGGTGATGCTTCATTCAAAGCTCCAATTCATTCATCAGGTGTCTAGTATGAATGATCCCCAGAGCTCTATCACTACAGTTCTTGCTGGCATTCTGGGGCTTGGCAACACTGTCTCACCAAAGACAGCTTCTATTTCTCCAATGATCCTTGCCTAAGCACCTCACCTCACATCCATTGTTGCCACTGGCATCTCAGATCCTCATCTTGCTGAGTCATTCTGACTTAGACAAGTTTATGCAACTGAAAAGTCATTTGACAACCTCATTGCAGTTCTTCAAGCCCAGTCTCTGTCTGAACCTATTGCTTGGCCATTCTGGTGACTCATCATTCAGGACCAGTATGTTGACTTTTCAAAACTTTTTGCTTCAATAGACTGAGGATATGATCACAATGAGGCAAAAGAGCTTATAGTGGGATATGCTATTATCAGGAAGGACATTTCATCTGCCAAGAAGTCTCTCAGGTCAGAATCTGACTGGTGCAGAGTGTATGATACCTGGGCTAGAGGTGTTCAGGTTCTCTATCCACACTGTGAGGCTGAACTCAAAGTTTACTGAGAATATGTGGTTGAAGTTTTTTGGACTGCATCTTATGACTCCACAGTTGCCATTCATATTGATGAAGAAGTTTGGCTGTGATATGCTAAGTCCCCTTTTCATATGGATGTCTGGAGTGAACTACAAATTCCCATTCTTACTCAGGTCTTTCACTCTCCTTCAACTTCTTCAAGCACAAAACAATTTTTGTCTGCTTCACTTTCTGCTGCAAAAAGGTCAACAGTTCCATATGAAAACTGGAACCTGGGTTTCTGCCAAGACCCATGTCCTAATCACCATAGGTATGGTATCTGTAGTGAATGTGGATCAGGACACCAAGCTAGAGATATTGTTGAATGTGCCAACCTCCTCCAATCAAAAAGGAGACTTAGATTTGGAAGAGATAATAGTGAAGATAGCAGCAGCAGCAGGGCCTAGGTCTTTAAGGCCTCAAAAGCACAAATGTGAGGATCAGAGTATTGGTCCACATTTTAGGCATGGCTATGTCTGATTGAATACTTCCACATCATCTATATCTATATCTCCTGCTGCTCAATCTACTGAGTTGGCTGATCTTCTACCTTCTCCTCCTTCATATCTACTCAATGATCCATCCTTGCAGGCTACACTACATGCTTTAAAGGATTTTATTGTAGTTGACACACTATTCAATGTCAATCGCTTGGAGAATATCCTTTGTTTTCATCCAAATGAACTCTTTGTCTCCTCAGTCATTCATGGTCTTTGGAATGGATTCTGGCCTCTCAACTTTGGTGAATGGAAAGACTCTCTCCATGACAAGATTGAGAATTATGCCACTGACCCTCAAGATATCAATGAAATATGAGCATTTCATGATTATGAGATCACAGCCAGATGTTGGTCACTATCTCTACTAGATGGATTTACACTCCTACCAGGTATGAAAGTATCACCTATGTTTGTGGTCTGGCAGAATAGAAAACTCCATGTTGTAACAGATCATACTTTCTCTGGTTTAAATGCAGGAATCTCCACTAGCAAGGTAAAGGTCAAATATGATGATATGCATCTATTTGGTGAGGCTCTTCACAGTGCAAAATTACAACATTTTAATGCCAATTTCACTCTGTATAAAAGTGATGTCACCAAGGCCTTTTTGAATTTATCAGTGCATTCTCTATAGCAAATTTGTCAAGTGGTCCTTATTGACAACCAATATCATATCATTAGACAGCTCATCTTTGAGAGCTGAGCTTCACTCAGAATTTGGTGCTTGGTCTCAGCCTTGTTGTGCTGGGTTGGAATTCATCATCTTGACATCACTGACCTCCATGTTTATATAGATGACTTCTTCAGCTGAGATTTCACTAATCACCAAGTTTTCTATTGAGGTCAGTGATGACCAGCACAGCAAGTATAACTTTTGATATTTTAGAAATATATCTCCTGTCCCTTTGATGATCTAAAACAGTTGCATGGTCAGACTCTCAAAATCATTAGCTTCTGAATTGATGTCAACCAGGGAAGTATTTCCTTTACACAGCAGTCAGTTATCAATGCCAAATCTGAAATCAACTCATTTCTTTCAACATTTGGAAGAGCACCTATTCTACAGAAATGGCAGCATTTAGATGAATACCTGAACTGGGTTTTGAATGTTCTATCATGAGGCTGATCTATCCTTTTTTCTTCATATAGAAAGATAGCTGGAAAGACTCACTCTTTCACAAAGATCTTCATCAATGCTGCAGTTAGAGAGGATCTCTCTTGGTTTTCATCTATTCTGTCAGATTCTGTAGGTGTTCATTTTGTTGACTCAGCTCTCTGGGCTAACTCAGAAGCTGATATAATATTTTGGATGGATGCTAGCTTAAAAAACACATTATCATTCATTTTTGCAGAAAATAGTTTTATATATCAGCTCCATCTACCATCTAAAGATATGATTGACATCTTCTTTCTCAAACTTGTTGCTATTCTTTCAGCCATCTATTATGCAGTATCTCTATCCAAACCCCCTTGTCACTTTTTACTTTTCACTGATAGCCTTGATTCTATCACTGCATTTGATTCTCTATCAGTATCAGAACCTCTTTATAATAGACTCTTACTTGGAGCTGCAGGCCTGATACTCTATTTAGAAATTGATATTCATATTTGATATATTGACAGAAAAGATAATATTCAGGCTGATATGCTTTTCTAACTCCTTTTGGATGAATATCATCATAAATTCTCTGCTGACCATATTCATACTTTCACTCCACCAAGAGACCTACTGCCAGCATGATGGAGACAATCTTTCTAACTGCACTAGGCAAGCATGCCTCTTACATTGCTTGCCCAGCTTTCTCTCTTTCTCTTCTTGATGAATGTGTTCTGTTTCTCCAAGCTCATGTGATTGAGCTCAGAGCAGCAAAGAGTTATGCAACAGGAGCACATGATTACATATGGTTTTGTATTACTCATACACTGCTGCTTGGACTGACATCACTTACTCTCAGCAGATACATCACCTATATATCCCAGTTCATCTCATCTGGCCCAAAATACTTGACTGGAGTCTATCACTTTTTAAAAGACCTCTTGTTGGATTAGCAAGCAGAAGCTCTATTGTATCCCACTGGCTGAGCTTGATACTCCTTTATATCAGAATGAACTATATATATTGAATACAGTCTGTTGAGCACTCTCACCATGTTTCTGCTTATTGCTATGCTGTGTAAGAGTGAGTATCTACTTATATTACTTTGTTTATATTACTAATTGGTATCCTGTAGTCTACACTATAGCTAACAGTGTACTCTATTAGATGCTATGAATATGCATCACTTTTTTAGAGGTTATACAGCTCTGAGAATTACTCTATTCTATCCTTCATACTCAAATGACTTTCATCATTGCTGCCTTGACTACAGGTCTACCATTGAACATCCCTACACTGAACATGTCTGGTGACAACTGATCTATCTTCTACCTCTGCTTTTTCACTGGTGTTCAAGCCAAAGAGAAATGGGATCACTTTGATGGATCAAAGCTCAAACCCTCTCTCACTGCACCCACAACAGCTCTCATGGCTGAGCTAGATGAATGGAAGAAAGATGAGGCTGTAGCCAAGAATCTCCTACTCTTGAAGATTCCTGACTCAGTTGCTATGAAGATTCAGGGTCTTCCCACAGTTGCTGTAGCCTGATCAAAGATCAAAAAAGAGTTTACTGATAAGAGCAGCTATACACAAATCAACCTTCAGCAGCAGTTTATGGAGTCACATTGCCTGGCCAAAGGCAATGTTTATGAGTTTCTTAACAGTCTGTCAATGAAATGGGAGTCATTAGCTTTCATCAGTGTCATCATCAAAGAGAAGGATTACTGCTCAATGATTCTCACCTTTATCTCTCTCTATCTTGCCAAGCATGCATCAACTCTCCTTACAGTGGTAAAGCTTTTTAGTTCCAACAAGGAAGTCAATCTCAAGAACCTGATCTATGCTATTTCCAAGGAATACAACTGACTGAAGCACAAGTGAGCCAAGCATAGTCAGCAGTCTGGAAAGGAAAAAGACTCAGAGCAAGATGAAGCTATGTCTGTTTCATCAAGCTCAGATGGCAATAAGAAGGGCAAGAAACCTGGCAAGAAATTGTGCTGGGGATGTGGAAAGGAAGGACACTTCAAAAACAAATGCTCTGAGAAGAAGTCATCAGACAATGACAGCAAGGCCTCTGGATTAAAGGGTGAAATAGCCAATGTGGCTGAGAAATCATCAGATTCAGACTGAGAAGCTGACAGTGCATTTGGAATTGATGATGCTAGTAACATGCTATCACTGGCTGCAGTTTCTGAGTCAGATGAGTCTGAAATTGAGAGCTTATCAGAGGACTTAGAGAATGAAGACAATGGTACTGACCTTTTTTTGGAGGTTGGTGATGAGTTGTAGAATGAGCTGAGCAGTGCATTGTCCTCATATGTTGACTGGAGTGATGTGAACTCCTTTGTTGACAGGCAATCAGATGCCACATCTGACATGCTGACTTTGAAGGATGTATCTGCTTCTGAAGAGTCAGTCACAGCTGTTACCAACACTGTAAACTCACCTGATGTTCAAATTTATACTGAACTCTATGACTCTGGCTGTATATGCTATATTTCCCCTTACTATGATGATTTCAACTCATTCCAGTCTGTCCTGCTCAAGGCATTCCATGCTGCAAACACTTGAAAATTTTCTGCAGCTAGAAAGGGTGTGATAAGCATTGATATGCCAAATAGCACAAATGTGAGCAACCTGCAACTCACCAAGATTATATACTCTTCTGAAGTTGGCTATATACTCATTTCAGTTGACCAACTTGATGATCTTAGTTTTGAGTTGATTTTTGATGGTGGAAAATGCACCATCCATACATTAGATAGAAAGATAGTTGAGGTTGTCTCAAAGGATGATGGTGGCCTATATTGGATTCATTATGAGGGAGATTTGGCTGAGACAGCTGAGGAGATGCTTACTCTAAATCAATTGCACTGCTGCATGAGCCATATTTCACCTGAAGTTGCTCATTGTTTGATCAAAAAAGACTTCATGACTGGAGTAAAGCTCAACAAGTCATCTGGAGAACCATAGTTCTGCAAGTCATGTGTCTATGCTAAAGCTACATGAAAGCCAGTGTCTAAGGCTTGAGGGAGAGAATGTGCAACTGATATTGGAGGCAAAATTCACTCTGATTTATAGAGATCTGCACTTGTGGAATCTCTGCATAAACACCATTACTTCATCTCCTTTATTGATGACAGCACTTGTTGGGCTTACCTTGAATTCTTACACCAGAAGAGTGAAGCTTTCATAGTGTATAAGGCCTATGAAGCTCACATCTGCACCTAGCATAACCACTCTGTAAAAATCCTCTATTCAGACCATGGAGGTGAATACTTCAACAAAGTGTTTATCTTGCATCTGAAAACTGCTGGCATGGCAAGAAAGATGACTGTACATGATATACCACAGCACAATGGGGTGGCTGAAAGATATAATCACACAGTTATTAAAAAAGTCAGAGCTATACTGCATTCAAACAGCTTACCTTGCTTCTTATAGACTGAGGCTATCCACCATGCTGTCTGGGTTCTCAATAGAACATCAACAAAGACTCTAGATGGAATGACTCCTTATGAGGCTGTTACAGAGAAGAAGCCAGATCTAAAAGAGTTGTGGAAATGGGGAAAGAAATGCTGAATATACCTTGAGACTAAGGCTATGAAGCTGGATGGCCACATATGTGAAGGTCAGTGAATTGGATTTCATGAAATAAGTAATGGATCTCATATCTACTGAATAGAGAGCAAGATGGTGTCTGTCAAGTGAAATGTCTATTTCAATACAACTCATATTGCCACTGACAATCTTGAAGAGAAAAAAGACATTGAGCTACACAAGATTCTGTCAATGCCAAAAACTCAGTCCAATCCACCTACTGCAAAGCCATCACAGGTGTCACCTACCTCTGAAGCCCAGTCTACAGTCCAACCCATAGTTGAAGAAACTTGTTCTGGACACACTCAAAAGTCTAGTCAGCAGATGCTAGACCTCATCTCTGGCAAAAACAGTGTATTGGCATGCTCAAGTGATTCTGTGGTACCTGTTAGTGTTCAGTTATCAGTTGTCAATGAAAACAACAAACCTCTTGAGTTTGAAAGAGAGAAAGAGGCAGATTGGTTGATGATACTTAAGAATGCTGACTTCCTTGAGGAGTATACTATGGCCATTTCAATAGCCAATGCAGAAGCCTTAGAGCCATGCAGTCTAGCTAAAGTGAAGTATCAGCCTGATTGGCCTTTGTAGAAAGATGCAATACAGGAAGAGCTTGTGATATTGAAGACTGTGGAGACTTAGAAAATTGTTAAAAAATCAGTTGAAGAAAATGTTGTGGGCTTGAAGTGGGTCTTTTGAATCAAGAAGAATGCTGAGAGAGGCATAGTCAAGTTCAAAGCTTACTTGGTAGCACAAGGGTTCTCATAAGTACCTGGTGATGTGCTTGGTAATGGCTAAGTGACTAAGAGAAGTGAATGAGGAATGAACTCTCAAACACCAACACCTAACCACTCAATACACAATCACCAAATACAGTTGAGGTTGATTGTTTTGAGTACAATAGAAGCACTCTTGCAGTCTTAAGTAAAATCAAAGAAACAATCAATAAAGACAGTTATTTAACTCTATCTTGCTTTCAAAGATGCAATACTCATAAGAGTAGTTTATAGCAATGTTTAAGTATAATTAGGACTTAGAATCAATGCCAAATTGCGCTCCAAATCAACTTAGAATATTCTGAAACTCAATGAACTCTGAAATCCAAATACTAAGTCTATTAAGCACTTAGGCTTGACTAGCTGCAGTCTTGGCTGGCTAGCAGTCCTCAAAACTGAAGAACTTGTATTCTGATGCTGAAACCCTTATAGTTTGAAACTCAAATTAATCTAAAACCCAAAATACAGTTATTATTCTAATCCAATCCTCTCTAAGTGACAAAGCAACTTAAATAAATCACTAAGTCAAAGCAGAACTCAAAATCCATTGTCCCAGAGACTAGCTACAGTGGACTAGAAGGCCTGAACATGGGGGTGGGTCACTTGCTTGCTATTTTCCCCCCATTCCCTTCTTTTATACATCAACAACAGGTATAGAATCTATAAATAAAGCATTCAAAATAATATTTCTCCTGTTTAAAGCAGAATCATGCCATTATTCTGGAATGGCAGCACTTCTGGACTCCTCTAGGCTTGCTCAGAATTGCCTGGCCACTGCACAGCTTTATTTTAAGCCTACAATGCCTGTGGGTACCTAACTCCTTTCTGTCTACTCAGAGTTTTGATCCTCTGAGTTATTCTTAGTAGCTCAATTGATCAGGCCAGGTCAGATTTGATCAACAGATCCTATCCACTCTATTCCTCTCAATTCTAAGTCTCTTAGGTCACCTGATACCTAGGAAATTTGGACTTAGGCATTTGAGTCAAAACTCACAGTGCTAGCCACAGATCATTGGGTCTCTCTTCTTACTGCTTCTGGATGATGCTATCTTTACTCAATACTCCACAACTGGCTATAGTATTATGCCCCTAGCTGTCTTAGAATATACTTGTCTTAATGGCATGTAGAATTGGCCCCATTTG